GATCGGCTTCGGTCTCGGTATGCTTAACCAGCTGCTTGGCATGTAAACATTGCTGCTGCTGCCTCTGCGGCTTTTGCCTGCTGCTTGGCTTTGCGTCCGCAATTTATGAAGTTGGAGCCGTAATGCGCTTTTAACCTGCAGCAACCAAGAGGTCGGTAGACGCGGTCGGCAGACGGTGGCTGGCAGCTCTTATTATGCCAAGCACGTGGACCGAAACTAAACATAGCAGCACACACACAAATACACACCAGGGGCATAAATAGCCCCCTCTAGTCAACGGTCGCTTAGTGGGGGGCGCGAGAAGCATAAAATGTTAGACGAGTTCTCCAAGCGCCGTGCGCAATAAATACGCGATGGCGCCGGTCTGGAAGGCTGGGGGTACTGTCAAATCGTATGGTCAAGTATTTGGCGCTGTTTAAAATTGCGAATGCACACGAACGCACACACGCGCACACACAGGCACACTCACACGCATGCAGTCCCACATAAATAACAAACATGAGTTGGCTTGTTTTCTTTGGACTAGGAATTGGCTTTCCCCTCATGTTCGGGTCTACTTTCCCCTCGAAGATGTACTAAATGCTTGGCTTTTGATCATAGAGTTTAAGAGTCCTGGTCACTGTTAATATAAATCAAATAAATTTTTTTGCCTTTGATGAATATTCGCTCTGATCAAGCATGATTAAATTTATATGGTGGATATTAAAATGAGGCGGATTGAGGCATGTGGAAAATCGGATCTGAATATATAAATATATCGATTCAGATCTGTTAATTGTCTTCGTAAATAAAATGCTTGAGGTTTGACTTTCCGAGACACTTTTTATAGACTCCATGCATCAAGCATCTCTAGCTGGGCTCCATTAGGTATGGTACCTTACATTATCAGCATAGCCGATTCAAATGTCACAGCTTAAATTAAGATTGAGATTAAGATAATCAGATAGAGTTGTACACTTTTCAGAGAAATATAATGGCAATTCATCGTGCGAGATTCCACCAGTTAAGATAGTTTCGCTTACGTCAGGTTGTATCCTTTATATTGAGAGCCCCATTATGTGGTGAGCATTCGCGTTTTGATCATTATTTAATCTAGAAAAAATTGATAAAAAGAACTCTATAATGGTAATGAACTAAGAAATCCATTGATATGCGAGACAGACGTTTTCTATCAATATTAATATCTCAATTATAAAAAAATCAACATACGATTATTTCGCGAGAACGCGACGATATCGTCGTATGATCGTATATCGAAAAATGTTATTTTACAGAAGAAGTTTTTTTTTAATTTTCTCAAAATATAGTGGCATTTTTGAACCCATTGAAAATGGGAAATCAGGGTATAATGGTTTTGTGAAAGAGTATGTAACGTTCAGTCTTCGCTGACTCCATAAAGTTTATATATTCTTGATCAGCACGACGAGCTAAATCGATATAGTCAGTAGTTATAAGAGCTAGAGAGCTTTGGCATGCATGCTCGTGTGTACCATACGCAGTACAAGTTTATCATATTTTTTCGATAACTCATCCCATAACTTCAGATTTAATGGATACAAAGATTTTGTAATTTACAGATTTTGGATACCACGCCCTCAATGTACACAAATTTTAACCATATGATCACGCTCTAAAAGTTTAATTAAGATTGTAAGTGTAGAATGAGTAGAATATCAGCTTGGAGGGTTCAGGGTATCTCGAGCAGTCTCGACTAGAGCCTTCTTACTTGTTTTATAAGTTTTTATTTTATAGTTGTAATAGCGAAAGCATATACAATTTTGTTGCATTACCGCCAATTTTGTTTGCAACAGCAAGTTATTTAAATATACGATGGTTTCGCGCGTCATGTTTTTGGTGCAAGGCAATGGAAGTTCAACATACGATATGAAAAAAAGCTTGTTTATTTGTAAAAAGAATGTTTTAAAAAAAGTTTTTTTGTTTTTATTACATGTAAGCCAAGAATTCATATAAATCTTTCTTTTTCAGTTTGAGATTACATCTTCAGTTTTCATCTTCTTCATCGGTTTCATTTAAGCAATCTGGGATTGTTATACAATTTTGAAGATTTAGATATTCACTATGATATTTAGGCGGTATACTATTTCCATTACATAGATTTCTTAAATCTAAAAACTTCTTTCTGAAATACATAACTTACTCCTATATAATAACTTACTCCTATATTATAATTTAATTTAATGTGTTAAAACAGCAACACAGCCATGTTTTTATTTTGGTCAGCGGTACTATCGCAATAGAGGCTCAGACTTGATGTTGTATATCTATACCCTGAACCCATTGAAAATGGCAAATAAGGGCATAATGGTTTTGTTAAATGTATGTAACCCGATAAAGTATAGATATTCTTGATCCGGGCGACTATCTAGTTTTCCTTTAAATATCGATAACTTGTCCCGTTATTTTGTTATCGATTAAAAATAGTAATACATTTATATCGCCTACATCTTTCAAGCTAGAGTCACCAAATTTTTAATGTAGATTTACATATATGTACTTTAGGGAATTTCGATTTTCGTACCCCCACTCCTAATTCACCATCTCACCCTCAAATTTGTAAAAGGCGTTTTTAAAATACTGGAGACTTTTGCTTTGGCAAATACATGCATATTAATGTTATATTCATAATCTGAAAGTTGATGCCCTAAGACTCAACTTAACACTAATTCGAGCTTTCGCTTCTTATCTTCTTATCCGCTTAATCAAATTATATTGAAACCCAAGAAATAACGGCACAAATAAAATGAAAAAAAATTCCTGTTAAATGTAGTTAACTACACTTAGAAAAACAAGTAAAAACGTGGTAGTCGAGTGATACCGATTGTAGAATACTCATTCACAGCCCAAACGCTGTCAACCAGAGTAGTGCAATTTTAAAACCTAGGCGATCTTTATTTTAGCTATTTTGACAAAAATTCTATTTGGCTTGGGTGCGAGCTCAAATCCCGCGGAAAACTCGTTTTTGTAAATTGCAAATTTTTTGTTATTTTATATACTTTATTATATTAATAAAAATGTTTCTTTCCGTATTATGAATATCTATTAAGCTTATTTATATGTACAAATACATTAATAGATGGCTGACGCATACAAATGCCGACTGCAAAGCCCCTAGTGGCCGTAGAGTCCTGATGGCCAGTTGATAGAACGAGCAACCGGTAACCTAAGTGCAAAATTTGAATTCTTTCGCTCAAAAAAATGTGAAAATTACAAAGTATTTTCGCCCTTAAAGAGCCGTAAAAATTATTGGGGCATCGATAGAGGGGGCAATTAGTAACTCAACTATCCAAATTTGAAGCTTCTAACTCTTAAACTGTAGGAGATATAAAATTTTGCGGTTTGTTACGCCCCCTATGGGCGGACATATATCTACCATAGCTCGTTGTAAACCCGAGTATATAAGTTAAGCGCTCCCACACTAGAGTACTAGTGATTGGGGACGCTGTGTTGGGTTCTTGTGAATATATAACAACTTAGTGTTACAAGAAATAATATATTTTATAWAATTTGRAACAATRGGTCTAAACTCTCTCTAGTCCGAATATAAACTGAACTAAATCTGTTTTACTGAGTAGGTTCTCCCCTTGAATGTCTGACTGGACTCTCCAGCCTCCTTAGATTGTCGAAAGTATTAACTTATATAACAAATTTCAGGTCTCTAGCATCAATAATGCCTAAAATATAGCAGAATTCGAAAAATCACAATATTTTCCAATTTGTCCGATTTGCCACGCCCCTAGTAGGCGTAGATATATAATTTCTTTACCATCGTTATAGAATCGAAACATCAGCTTACGTGCAAAATTTTAGCATTCTAGATTTACAACTTTAGGAGATACAGTTTTATCCGATWTGCTACGCCCTCAATGAGCGCAGATATATCTGCCATAGCTCGTGATCTTGGGTGGTTTTTGTAAACATGTGAGACAGACGTTTTCTAACCGTTCTGCATTAAAATCTCAATTTCGCAAAAAATCAACATACGATCATTTCGCGGGAATGCGACGAAATGTCCGCCATGTCCGTGTGTCCGACCGTCCATA